GATTGCACCTATTGAAATCTTGCACTGGTTTCGTCAAGACCCATGAGTTGAGCAAATGAATTAGTGCCATTAGATTCTTATGAATATTCTCTAACACTAAATTAATATTCAGCCTCTATTAATTTGTTTGGCAATTTGTTAACATGCACTAGCAATCGACGATTTGCGCATCCATTTGTAGGCAACCAATTGTGGCGGAGTGAATGCTGCTAAAGGGTGTTGGTAACAAATGTTGCAACGAAGCAATGGTTGCAAAATCAATCGCAAATAATAGTATTGAAAAGTTTGCAAAGGGTTTCATGAGAAATAAGTAGATTGTGTTTCAAGTACGAAAACACGTAGAAATACTGAATATTTAAATGTCAATTGTAATGTGACTTTAATATGACTTACAGTTAGAAGACAAAACTATCAAATATCCAACATTGGGGGACCTAAATTCACATGTTTAATGCGACTTTTACGAGTGATTTTAATGTGTAGGAACTTATTTAAATAAGTCAGTAACTTAAAATCTCACTTTTGGATATTTTTGAGTCAAAACTATACTAACTAAAGGGTTAGGGAGTAAATCCGTAAATTACCACTGACAAAACCACTAAGAAATGAAATTGGGGGCAACGCTCTAAAAGACTTCTCTAGTTCCGCCCTCCCTCTGCTGTGCAATAATCAAAATGTTCGGAGCTCAGCCGTCGTCTGCCGCAGCCTTCGGCACTCCCTCTTCCACACCTGCGTTCGGAACGCCTTCCTCCACCCCGGGGTTCGGAACTCCTTCGTCCACCTCAGCCTTCGGCACCCCGTCCTCCACTCCAGCCTTCGGCACGCCTTCCACTCCATCATTCGGCTCGGGGTTCGGCACTTCACTCTTTTCCACTCCATTCTCCCAGCAAGCGCAACCTCAACAGCAGCAGCAGACTCCTTCACTATATCAAACCCCACAGCCTCAATCCAGTAGCTATTTTGGCTTTTCGACGCCATTTGGTGCCGCCTCACAAGCTCAGCCCACGCCGTTCAATGCTCCGCCTTCATTGCCTTTTGCGAATTCACAGTTGACTACTCAGATGGCTCCTGTTGCTCCCCTTCCCTTTTCCCTCGCCGATCGTGATATTCAAGTTGGGGATTTTTGTCTTTTGAGTTTTTGGTTTAAGTTTATAAGTTCTAAATTTACTGTGGACCGAATTGTTAATTATTAATGTTTTTGTACCATTTATAATTGATAGGCAATTGTAGAAGCTTATAAGGAGGAGCCTGGGAACTTGAAATATGCATTTAAGGTTTGCTTTTTAATATCGAAAAATTTGAATGCCATTGTTTTTACACTTATATTGGGTTGTTGTACTTGTACTACTTTCATTGGTGTAGAAATCAGGCTTTGGCTTTCAAAAATGTAAAAAGTTCAATTAAAATACTTGCCATTTATTTAACGGATATTATTGAGGAAAGAATGTATTTTAAATAGGGATGGGAAATAGGTGGTTAAAAAGTAAGGAAAATATATTGTTGTGATGGAAAATATTATTATATTGAAAAATGTGTGGTTGAAAATGAGTCTTGAAAGAATGTATTCTTAGAGAATGTGTGTCAAAAAAGGGCTAAGTTCCATTTCCCTGACATAACTTACATGTTGCCAATCAAGGCTTCATGTTTCTCATATTCATTCTGGTGCGTTCATTTTATGGTGCTGAACATATTTTTGATGTCAAGACTGACCTTGATTCACATGAAGGTGTATGTTAAGATGTTTTTATTACTTTTCAGCATCTCTTATTCAGTGTTACGGAACCTCAGCACAGAGCAAAGCCTGCTGGTGTATCAGACGTGAGTTTAAATTTGTCATTTTTTGACTTTTTTTCACTCATTTATTCATTTTTTGTTAATGTTGTAAATTTACTTTTATAGGCTATTTAGTGAGTCTGATAAATTAGTTTACATTGCCAGATTATGTGGGCAGAGGCAATGGGGAAGCTTGAAGGCATGGAAAGTTCTAACCGGGAACGCTTGTGGCCACAACTTGTGCAGGGTTTTAAAGATCTTTCAAGCCGTCTCAAGGTGCATTGAAGTGTGACTAGTTCATAGTTTTAATATTACGGCGGAATTTTAGTAGATCACATACTATTATACTCAAGTCTCCTATAAGTGGGCTGCTGCCAGAATTTTTTGTCAAAGTTGAAGGACTTGAGCATTTTAGAGGAATGCTTTAATGCATAAGCTAATCTGTGAAGCTGAGATTAAGAAAGAACTGCTAGACTTAACTGAAGTTGTTCCTTTATATTTCTTTCAGCTGCTTGTGTCATTTGAAATGATTTGCCTAGGAAATTTTATTTTGCAAAAAATTATTTCGTAAAAAAAAATTCTCTTAAATTTGATATATTCATTCGAATATAGAAAATTTACTAAAATTCATAATAGGTAATGATTATTGAGTTGGAAGCTCCTTATTGTTGTTCCAGATGGCCCCTTTTAAGCTACAAATTAAGAATAAACCTGTTGGAAGGAAATGAAAATCTGGACTTTCAAATCTAAAAAGCATCAATTGCATTTCTGTGGGGCATCTCAGTAGAATGTTATTAGATTTTCTTTTAATTCTGTTATAGATTGTAATTAGTTGGCTTTATTCTATATTCCTTATTTACATACTTTCCTAAGATAATTCCTAGGTTTTGTATATATATGTATCGTTGGTTTCCAATTGAGAAAATAAGAAGAAGAGAATATTTTCTTTCCAATCTTTCCTCTGTTAACATGGTATCAGAGACCTAAATCAATTTTCGAACCTGTGTTTTACTTTGTGCGCTCCACCTCTGTTTTGTTCGAAGTGTGGCCCATCGCGTTCTCCCTGCCAGCGCCTTTTTCAAGCTACCAAGTACAGTCGTGTGGCGTTCGGGGTTGTGCTTCATAGTTCCAACATCTCTAGTGGTGGCTCAGTATCTGTGATCTTCATTTTTGAGCTTTCTGTCGCTGTCATGGTTTGACACAGCGTCTCTGGACGGTCGCTTCTCAGTGACGATTGTGTTCTCCTGTGCGATCGTCGTCGATTGTGGGTTATTGTTGTTCCAGATGGCCCCTTTTAAGCTACAAATTAAGAATAAACCTGTTGGAAGGAAATGAAAATCTGGACTTTCAAATCTAAAAAGCATCAATTGCATTTCTGTGGGGCATCTCAGTAGAATGTTATTAGATTTTCTTTTAATTCCAACCTCCAGAGTTTTCTAGACATGACAAAATGCACGAGAGAAGTCAAACTTTTTCATTATTGTTTGAAGTTCTTATCTTGAGGACTTTGGTGTGTTCTTTGAAGAATTCACGTGCAGAATTTGAATGTGGTATGTTGGTTTCATTTAGATTGTGAAAGCTTGCAACCTGAGCTTCCTAGACTATAACTTAAAGACCTTGTCTTAAATTTTACTGACCATGTGACTTGGTAGATTTTCAGATTGCTGGCATTTTTTGTGACCTGAATAAGCAAAACACGAGTAGTCCAGGATAGATATTTCTACTGGTTTGTGATAATCAGATTCTTTGTCGTCGTATCTGTGTGATTGTCATCGTCTTCATGCATGTTACTTCCTGTTATAAACGATCATATTGGTCATTGATGATACTACTTCAATCTGTAATTTGGAAGGAGATGAGAGTGGAAGTATAGGATTTAGGCATTGTGCTATCGGTAACAGGGATATTGCTAAATAAAATTTTAAGGTATTGTCTGGTGTAATGAATCTGATCAAAAGAAAGCAAATGAAGCATGGATTGCATTTGTAGCATCTTTTAGCTAGCAAAATTGAATTGTTGTGAGGTAGATAAATCCTCATCAAAGTTTAGTAAACAATCTAAATTATGGTCCAACATGACAAAAAAAGAAGGGAACTGCTAGGTTAGAAAAACTAGTTTGATGACCAGTGAGCTTGAACAGAAATGGCAACTACTGTGAAGGACTATGATTCCTTCGTATTTGTAATTATGATTATGATTATCGAGAGCTTGATTGTCATTGTATAATATGGGTATTCTGTTCTCTCTAGTATTACATTTTTCTCTCTCATGATCGATCATATTTGGGTTTATGTTGTGACTCTTGAAAACTGATTGTTAAAACATTCAATTTCGGCTGCTGCAGCTTCAAGATGAAGTCATGCTCTCAGATTCTGAGAGATTAAAGATGACAAGGAGCAATGTGAAGATGGTATTGTCTCCGCTATGTTCGTCTGCCTTCCTTGTTCTGTGCGTTAATGATTTACCATATACCTTTATAACCTTTGATTAGTGTAGCTCCAAAGGCATTTTCAAGTTGACACTCTTCCTCGGATTCAAAGGATGCAACAAAAAGAGCAAGTTCTCCATAGGCGTCTTTTAAGGGTGAGAATTTGGATTAGCCTTTTATATCTGATAGTGGTGGTCATGTTGTGCCAAATGTGTTGTATGTCATTTTCACTCTAATCTTTTCTAGTCATTACTGGTGCATTATGATTTTATGATGAGATAATCAGAATTTAACTAGTGAATGCATGCTCAGTTGCTTTTTTACAAGTTCTGCTTCTATGTCTCATCCTACTGTTATAAGCTTGCATGTGCTGTTATAATCAGGTAATGAAAATAGTAGAGGCACTGGAGGGTAAAGGTTACCGGTTACCTCTAACAAAAGGAGAAGCTGAATTGGCTGAGAAGTTGGCTGCAATAACTCGGCAGGTTGTTTATAATTTGATCTTGCTGAATGCCTACTTATTTGGAATGTAATAGTAACTGTACTCACAAGAATACCCGACCTTGCAGTTAAAAGGACCTGGAGCAGAACTTTCTCGACGGGTTCAAAATCTGCTCGCTATTTCACGTGTTCAAGCAAATGGCCTTGATGGTGGCTCTCTTTATCTTCCGGGATCAACCAATATCCACGAACAAAGTCTTGCAGACATGCAAGAGGTAAGCTAAAATTTATCGAAAATCCTTTTAGACTGCTCAAAAAGTTACTTAAATTTGAATGAAGGACTAGTTTTGTAGCGTTTGTTGGTTACATAAATGACCCTCTTTTCATTGCAGGTCTTGCAGCAGCAAACCGAGGCTATATCTAGGCTTTGCAATGTGATGAAGAGAGATTTCCGAGATTTGGAGATCATAATGGCTGAGGATACCGAGAGGATTAAAGATTAAAACAAGAATGGCTTTTAATTCACAAGCAGTTTGTCCATTTGTTTTTCCTTTCCCTTATCCTTTTCTTCCCTAGTCTCCATCGGTCAAATGTTTTTTTATTTGGGAAATGAACTGGAAATTATGTTACATCTAGAAGTAAATGAAGAAGAGTGCATTTTCTGTACCACAATGCCAACACAATCCAATTTCAAGATACGTTCAAGGAAACCTAGAACTGACGTGATTATTGTGGTTCATCCATTTATCTCGAGGTAGGAAAATCTAGTGCCACCATTCAAAACCTTCATTCTTCGCAACACTGTATACAGGTTGATGGTCGAGGAAAAACTTGGATACAATGTACCGTTGTTATCTTAGCACATTCTTGTACAGAAACGAGATCAAATCTTAGGACGGAACATCTTTGAATTACATGCCCGAAGCAAAAAAATTCATGTAACTGCACATCCAAAATGGATCAACACAAGTCACAAATCTGTGTACTAGGCTGTCCTGTGATCCCGTTTCTGTAATCTAACACTGATATTGAATCACATACGCTACACGTCAAATCAACTGGAAGTCCTATTTGCATGATTCTATGGGATTGTGGAGAGGATTTCGCCTTTTGCTAGCACGTACTAACACTCGTTAAATGTTTCTGCCATGATCAATAGCACAAGTGACGTCCAACCAGTAAAGAGGCGCGCACCTTTTCCTTTTCCGCTCTTCTGATCATACTGTTCCCAGAAAAAGCCAGTCTGGTTATAGTTTCTTACCACATTTCTGCAACGAAAGAAATCAATAGCAGGTAAGAATAAACCATACAGAGTGTTTGATAAACACTGCACTGGTGTACACTGCAACATACAAGATTTTAATATCTTTCTTCTTTATCCTGTTAATATTGTCTGATCCCACATACCAAAGAAGTGAAAAGAAGCACAGAAGTCAATTAAAGAAGACACTCAGGTGACAGTTACCTTATCAAATTGTCCCTCAAATCATTGTAGACAGTCTTTGCTCTCCCTCTGTATGGTCCTTCAACTGCAGAATCAAATATAAATACAAAATGTGAGAAATAATTATAGCAAGAATGAATAATTCATGTTATAGTGTACCTTTTGAATAGTGGTTAAGTGAGGAAAGAATCAAATAATTCATGTTCATCCAAATTGTCCCTCTCCAATATGGTGGATCATGCTCAGTGTTGCGTATCATGTACAGTGTGCTGTGACGTAAAAGAAATTTTTATTAACAATAATCAGAAGCTTACCCAAACAGAAGGCCTTCAATCAAAAGGAAATAAGGTTTTGACTTTGTTAGAAGATGAATAACTTCTAATATTATGTCCGGCAAACAAAGCAGCTTAAAAGTAACTTTTACTTCCTTTCAAGCTTAGTGCTCTCAGTCAAGGGCTTGAGTACATCATTATTTACCTTGTCTTGGCAAGAGATCTGAGTCCAAAGACGGTCGACAAAGCACTTCTGTTTGAAATGAGATCAAGCTGTTTTTCTAATATCCATGAATCCTAAAGTGGATGACAAAAAATAACCTTTCAATACTAAACATCTGTGAGAAAGTGGAGAGCAAAATGACAGAAATAAAAAGTATCCTTGACCAACTCACAGGTGGAATAAGTCTACCAATAAAAGGGAAAAGGCTGACATAGCCAACATGAGGAACCAGTCGCAGCACTGGCTCCTCAAGAACTTCTCTTACAAACTCATGAATAGGGTAATCACCAGCCTGCTCCACCAGTCTCCAACTTAGATGAACCTACAAAGAAAAGGATTGTTAATTCAAGAATGAGCTTACAAGAAATAAGTCTGGTCCTACCATAGTCTTTCTTTCTCCTTTGATTTTTTTTTTTTTTTCAAAAAACCTTTAGGTCCCTGCAGTTTTCATCTATCATTTACCTGCTCATGTTTCAAGACATAACAATGACTAACGAGAAGGCATTGCATCAAGTAATCTTAACAAGAAGTATTCTAAACCCCTTCCCGCACCCAAAAAATTTAAAATAAATAAATAAATAAAATGCAAAGACAGCTTTTTGTGAAGGAAGTGGTATTTGCAAAAATTACATATGGCTCCGGTACCTTCAGATTTTCCCAAATACATGACCAAAATTATTGAACCAAAACAATCTGGATCTCTTCATCACTGAATTACTAGTATGTAAAAAGTGTCTAAAGGATGAGGCCTATTAAATTCTGAAATGTAAGCATTGGAAAGAGTTGTGATCTGAAAACACAGCCAATATGAGACGTGATTACTTGAAAGACAAAAGCATATACCTGCTCGGTATGATTTCCATAATCAAAATAAGCTCCATAGGTATAATCAAAGTGCATCTGTTAAGCAAAAAGAGCACATCCGAAAATATAAACTTTAAGCCAGTACATCTAAATAACTGGTGGCAAATGTCAGAATAATCAAACAATACATTGTTCACATGTAAATTGTAATAAAGCAAATACCAATTCTAGCAATACAATCTAGATGAGAGTGAACATGCAAAACGTTGACAAGGGAATAGTAGAACTACCTCATTTAAAAGCTCAAAATCTGAGAGCAGCTTTGCTGTCAAACCGTACTCCTGTATTATTTTAAACAAAACCTTATAAATTAAAAGAACTAAACTGATATCTTAGAAAATGTTTATATATTATTTTAGTTATACCTTTCCAAGTTCTCTCTCCTTCCCAAGAAACTCTGAAATGGAATGCATGCAATCTGCTGCAAATTGCATCCAACATCTAAGATCCAAGTGACGTTCATCTTCGCTAGGGTGTGATGCACGAGGATAATCATCTAATCCAGAAGACAGCGTCTGGAGATGACAAAATACTATTATGGGGATTTTGACTTATAAATCCATTTACAACTAACATTGCATGGACACTTGAAACAAAGTGCTAAAAGATTCTAATATTGAAATTTAGATGAGGTAAATAATAGCTATAATTCGAGGATCATACATCATAGACACTAAAATTATGGAACTATTATAATGATGAAACAAAGTTTGATCTTTTCTCGAACTCATTTTTTTTTGGTACTTCTTAAAGCATGAGATTATGTTTCAGTGCATGCTAGCTTCTATTTGTCATCCTGAATAATTTTGGAGAGGTTTTCAGCACTTCACAATAGATTGTTCGCGTAAAAGACGTTAATTCTAAAAACTTGTTAAGAGAGTTGAGATATAATATGCTTTCTAGAGAAGGGGGAAAGAGTTAAAGAAGACAAAAAGTCTTTTCTTGCTACCTTTCACACATTCAATATGGCTGTGAAATAATTGCTTTCCTAACATGGTTTATAGCCCTACAAAAATTTATCTATATTCAATTTAATAAACTTCCATAATTTGCCAGTGGAGAGCTCTGCCATCCATTTCTACTCAATTTATTACTCTCCTCAAAAATTATGACGAAAAACAGATAATTAGGCCCTTGTTTGATCCTCATTATTTCTAGAATACATTTTTCTCTCTATTACTTTCAAATACACTTTTTCAATAAAGTAGTATTACTCTCAAATCCAAAAATTTTTCTTACTTTTTAACCACACATTCTCCCTCAAATCACTATTCAAAAATGCATTTTTGTCAAAAAAAATGGGGCTCAAACATGCTCTAGGTGTGTTTCTAACCAGGTGGAAAGATGAGGTGAACCTAAAATAAAAATTCCACTTAATCCTGATGAGTGTATAAATATGGTGTGGATACGAACCTTTGGATTTAGTTCTCTAATGGTTGCATTGTCTCTTCCATGCCAAAAGTAGGTACTTGCAATTTTTCCTGAGAATAAAACATCAAATTCTCAATACATGAGAAGCCATTTTTTAAGCTGCCCGTCTTAAAAAACATGGTTTCTCCGGTTACGTGATAGCAACATGCCAATCTACAGGAAAAATGCAACTTGCTTGTAACACCCATACAGGCCATTAGGTTGGATGGTCAACCTTCGGCATTAGAAACTAGGAAAAGTTAAAATTTGTAACATCTACCTGATTGTGTAGTGTTAAACCAGTTAAACCATGCTTCAAGACGAATAAATGCTCGATCCAAAAAGATGGAGATCTCATTTCTTTCTGTGGCAGCAAACTGATTTTTCTTAATGCTGCACATCAAATCTGCAAGGCAAATTTTTCTTAATTCGTAATACATTAGCCATTCAGTAGATCTTCCTCAGCAATAGGTCTATTTCCCTTGATAAAGTGTCTTCAATTAAGACATGGGCAAGAAGTTATAAGTTGATTACTAAATGCAAATGAATTAACATCCCGTGTCAGTAGGGTTTGACTCCGGTCCTCATAAAATGGTTGGCCCTGGTTATATAGGGACACAGGTAGAGAATACCATGTCTACGTACATATTACAGGTTGCGAGTATGATATCTGGGGTAGATATGTTGGCCAACACATATTTAAATCATGATTCAAGAGAATAAGGTGCCTTGTAGTTAAGTATAACTGGGACGAAATTCTACCCATAATTTTATAAATTATAAATTTCCAATTAATTGCCGTAATTTATCAAACATAGAACCAAGAATAGTCACACTACAAATGAAATGGACAAAAATGTCCAAATAAATTAAGTTCACATATCATGGACTTTAGGCCTTTTCATGCTGCTTTCCTTCATTTATTTTGGCAAGGGAGTATATGATCAGAGAAAGTTTTTGTTCAGATATTTCTAAGGCTGATATGATATTTCCAGTTTATGGGGGGCACAGAATCCTCTACAAAGCTAATGTCAACACGAGATTGGTGCACCATGCCGTATTTTATTTTTAATGCTATAGCAGAATGAGTATCACTATGAACTTAAAGAAGGCCATTTTTCTTTAACATAGACATTATGTAAAATCACTAGAAGAAACACCGAATGCTGTCATAAAAAATAAACCTCGTAAAACCAAAAATAATGTTGGAGGATTTCCATTGGTTGGATACTGAAGAACGAATTCTGCTGGGACCTTACTGCAAATGAACATGATATGTCTTACAATGTGAAAGAGTGAAGACAAATTATTATGAGCTGAAAATATAACAGAAGTTAAGCTTTGTCACCTTAAAGCTTCAGCACCTAAAATTTGCTCACGTGGAATCCATCCTTCAACATTCATCAGATCTAACCAATGCCCAATTATATCCAAACAAATATGAACATCCCAACGCCTATTTACGTGAAGAGAAAACAAAAGTTTATAGGTAACAATACATTATGAAAAATTAAGTTATATTAATAGGATTTCGGGGTAGATTTACAGTGAAGTTATTAACTTATTGCAGATGATAATAAAGCGAAAGGCGATTAAAGCCAAAACGAAAAAAATTATGTGAATAAAGGCAACCCACCAGATTAGTAGTTGATGAAATCCTTCATCCCACAAAAATCCCCTAGGGAAAAAGGGTCTGCTTGGAACTGCTGTATATAGCTCAGCTGGCCAATATGATATAAAATCATCACCAAGCTTATGCTGCGCGAGATAATAGCCCATTGTGTGACTTGCTAGTCATCCAAATACCAAACATCATGCGAACAGATGAGCAATAATATGTATAATCAGATTGTCAAAATCTTCAGTGACAATTAGAGATAATGCCAAAACAATTAATCAAGCTTGTTCGAAATAGTCGTAAATTTAGAATTGCGAGATTTTCAAGGAAGATTGTTAAAATTTCTGGTCAAAGAGAAGGTTAAGTAAGAGCTGACAGGTAGCTCATTAAAAATAAAAGTGACTGATTTGAGAGGTGATAACACTGGTTGCATAGAGCTTTTAATTAGCAACAGGTCCTAGCAATCATCTTGAAACAGAAGGGAAACTAATGGAGTACCCTACAACCTTCCAAGCATTTTGTAAAATCACTTCGGAGTCCAAAACATGCATTGCCGCAAACTTTTCAGTGACTCAATTGAAAAAAAAAACGTAAGCAGCCAAAAAGGGAAATTCGAGCCAAGTTCAAAGAAGGAATACCAGCCAGTCAACATTATGCTGCAAGCATAAAATTTCCACATGAAAGAGAATCTCATTTTTTTTAAGTCGCACTCTCATTTAAGCACACAAGTTGATAATGCTGCTACTTTCGCAGGTCAAATGACTTTCCTAGGTGGAATTTTAATGGTTTTCTCCATCATTTTAGCAGGTCAAGCAGTCACAATAGAATAGAGGCACAGAAGTAAGTCTTCTAGCAAATTACACATTATCAGAATTAATTTTCTACGGCGATCAAATCAGGACACAGTTGACCAAAACTGGCAAAACAAATTCATTTGATTGTGAGTTGCAGCCATTTTTGGCTTCCAAAGGACAATACAAAACTGAAGCCAGAAGACTTACATTAGAGGATGGTGGAGTTGAGATTTTTGATTGGCCATAAAAGTACCCAATTCCACCCAACAAATTCCCAAGAGCAGCCTTACTCACTGCCTTGGCTTCAGGATTAAGCTGAAAAACCACATTAAATTTGAATTCATAACAAAAGTAAACGAGAATTGGTAGTAGGACTAGGAATACAGAATAGAACACCATAACAATAATCATAAGTATAAGTAATCTCTCACAATCGTAGTAAGACTTGAAAGTAGATGCTTTAGACTAGACTAGCTTCCCAGATAGGTATTTCAGAAAAGAGGCAGTCATGTTAAAAGCCCAGCAGGCATTCCAATCATCAATGTAAATGTATATTTAACAACATATTTTGCATCCAATAATTTGATATTTGTGACATGCAATACAATGAAATGTATATAGGTCCTCTACATCCTATGATGTCGTCAATTAATAAAATAATGTGCGTTGGTAAGGTTGATGAATATCAGTAAAACCATCCAACTAATCTACCACATGTAAGAAAGAAATTTACTTTTGCATCATAATAAAATTCAAATAAATCATGTAATATTCTAGAACACGTAGATATTAACTAGTTCTCCTTTGACTCACCACTCACCTCTTATTATTGGTTTCTTCAGCCACAAACATAGCACCTTACGGAGTTGGGAAAGATAAATCAATGGACTAAATGGTAGGGAAATTATGTGATGTGAGATCAATGCTGATAGCAAGATACTATAAAATTTTCCCTAATCAATCACTTGAATAAAAAATGTCATTGAGTGATAATTGAACAAGAATTCCATGCTGAAGTATAGAAGGATCAACTTATTACCATGGATTCAGATGTAGCACACACATTAAAGGAAAATGGGATAATTTAAGAATGTGGTTTGAGCAGCTATTTGTAACATCTATCCATAGGTAAAACAAACACAAAAATCATATCTCGTTGCCTCTTTGCAATATCTTTAGATAGAATGGTACAACTTGTAATAGAACCCCGGAAGGTCAGTGTTTCAAGCCCTAAATTATACAAGACCACAATGTGGGCTAAAATTTGCAACAGAAAATATCCATATTTTGACGTACAGAAACATTTGAATTTAAAGATGATGCAACAGAAGAAAAAGAACCTTCCACTAACTCATACCTCATCAGAAATATTAAAGAACCTTTCGAATTTGTCTTCAAACTGGTTTTTCTTTTCACTTAGACGAGCAGTCAAAGAGTCACCTGGAATTGTTGACAAACTTTTTCATTAGGATTAGATGTACTGAGGTCTAGGAACTTATAAATACTTGTTTTCTAATTTGTACTTAGCATTATTCATCTGTTTTTAATACAATTGACTTCAACAGAGATGTTCTCCCAGCTTTATCACCAAAGCAGCCTTTGGTTTGAGTTCTTATTCTTTTCCCGGGTCTCATTCCTATAGCAATTCTATTCCCTTTTCCCACCAAGAATCAAATCCAATTAGTCTGGAGTTTCTAGTTTTCATCAATTGTACAAAACAGACGCAAACATACCAGTGAGGCTTCTAAAATGCTCTTCCATTCTTGAATTTTGACCACCAGATCCTGATACAAATACAACATCTGCTTTGAAGGGAATCCTAGCAGAGATCTGAACAATAAACAACGAACAAATGAACAAGATAGATAAGAAGCAAAACACTAAATTGATATACTAAGACACAAATAATTCTTGATGGCAAACCTGAAAAACTAGAATGTTTGGAGAGTGGTCAGAAGTATCAGAAAGCTGCAAACGATTAAATTTACTAGCCTAAACAAAAAAGAGGAAGAAAATGAATGAAGGAAGATGACGATTCAATATTTGTAAAGCCTGAAAGCAAAAGCCACCAAGCTGAGGCAATGCTTATGATATACACCTGGGTTCCAAGATTTGCTATGACAAGTTCAGATAGATTGTGAATGTGAAGTGTCTTGAAACCAGAATAATGGATCTCATAATCATCCTGCAAGAAATTCATTAAATGATAATACATTACCATCCGAAATAGGTTGTCCGGTGCATAAGCAGACTCGCATAATGGTTTTTAAACTAAAAAATTAATTCTTCATGACATGGCAGAGATGGTTATGAACAAATTTAAATATTTTTTTTAAAAAGTATTTCATCAAAAAGAAACAACATACACACAGAAGCTGGTTTACATAAATTTCATAGCATGAGACGTGGACGTAGGATTGTCAAAATCTCTCCACAAAAGACCATAAGAGAATTTGAGAAACAAAAAGTTCTAATCACCTTATCACCTAAAGCATTCAATATCTCAAAAAGCAGGTTCATAGGACATCCACACACATACACACACACACAAAAAAAAATTAATAATAAATAAAATACATAAGGGTGGTTTTAAGAAACGGTTTAGGAAAATATACCTCTGACCCTAAATGTAGCTGCCAGTTACCAACATCATTCCGCGAACCAAATGCTAGGATGGAGTCATCATGAATGTCCATAACACCTCCACCCAAATCTATAGCAGTTCCACCTTCATCAGCCACATAAAAGAAGATGTGCACAAGTTCTGACATTACTTCAACATGTCTGAATCATTCAACACATCATGACATCAAATCAGAGAATTGTATATAAGATGAAGACAACAAATGTATAGCATACATCATGAAGTGTCTACAGGACATCGAAAAAAATCTAAGCGCTTCTTTATAATATTAAGGCCCTGTTTGAACCAAATTATTATAGAATGAGAATGAAAAATATAGCCGTTATTGAGACCACATAAGAGATAAAAAATTTGAATTTAAATGTTGATGTAATGGATAATTGTCATAATTTTCATTTTAATGAGATAATAATGTAGATCAAACGGGGGCTAAGTAAATTTTTAATGATTGGAAGTATTGCATGATGATAATACGATGCACACCAAAAGAAAAATATTAGAGTAATTTATTCACTTCTAATTAAAATTGAAGAGCTGAAGCCAAACATGGGTATAAATTAGTTGTTAAAATGAACATGCCAATGCATTACATGAGCTGCAGCAAGAACTGGAGTACCCTATATGCAGGAATCATTACCAAATTCACCAACTTCATTTATTAAAATAATTCCTTGGGCATCATAATTTAAAAATCCACAAAGCATTCATATCTTTCCTTTTTTACTTCTTTTTCTAGGTGGAGTTCACTATTTGTTGAGTCCTTTGGGACCTCTACATTTCTTTCGTCATAAGGCAGCTCCAATTCGTAAAGGTTAAATCCACCAATGGGCACTTTATACTCAATGTTACCGTTGCCACCCAATTTGATTTTATTTCATCATAGCCACCCAATTTCATATAACGTTTCACCATGGCCACCCAACCTCTTTTCACAATTTTCATTAATTTTAAAAGGGATAAAATTGTAACTTTGCATTATATATATAAAATAAATTTAAAAAAAACAAAAATAAAAGTTTTTTTTATTTAAAAAAAGTTTTTTTATATAAGTTGTTTTTTTTGTTTTAAAAAGTTTTTTAAAAAAAAGTTTTTCTTTTGTTTTAAAAACATTTTTTTAAAGAAAGTTTTTATTTTATTTTATTTTTATAAGAAACGCTTTTTTTAAATAAGTTTTTTTTTTATTTTTTTAAGTAACATTTTTTTAAAATAAGTTCTTATTTTATTTTATTTTTTAGAATTTATTTTATATATATAATGCAAAGTTACCTTTTTAC